CTTCAGGAATCCATAGTCCAAGATTGTCCATTGTTATAGTCCAGGTATCCCCAAGGGGTTTTGAGGAGGAACATCCCCTCCTTGCCTTCATGTGCTCTAAGGCACAAGGGGATCCTTTGTTCTCCAACAGACCACATGGCAGGGCAGCATTTCAGGTGAACAGAACACAGAGCAGCAGAGAAAGCAGGAACAGAACAGAAAAGAGCTCTCTTCCAAGGGACCGGACAATTAAACCCCAATCTAGTCACAATCAGCTGTGGCCATTCAGCCAACCGCGAGTAGGAAGGGTGTGTCCATATCTTAGTTGTCATGGTAGTTTTGAGGGGATAGGTTGGAAGTTTGGAAACCACGCCCACAGTCACGTAGCCCCCCAACCCCAAACTTCATGGGCGAGGCGTGCCTCGCAGCCGCAGCAGCCCCCTCCTGCCCCAGGCGCCGAGCGCGTCATGGCGGAGGCGAGCGGGCACGTGCGGCCGAAGCGAGCCTTTTCTCTCCCCCCCTTGCCTTTCCAGCGGCGGTCGCAGAGCGTTTCCTGCGCATGCGCAGGGGACGCTCTGTTTCGGGGGGATTTAAACATCCCCCCGATTTCCCCCCCCACATTTAAGATATTTGTGCACACGTGGGGACTGCCCCACGTATGCTTAAACCTCCCCCTGCCCCCCAAGTGCCCCCTCTGTGCTGATTTAGATATCCACACAGAGGGGGCTACTTCGGTATTAGTATAAGGATACTAATCTCAAATACGCTTGCCTCACAGCTCATTGCCTTAGAGATAGAAACTAAACACCTTACAGATCATGCCTGGCTGGAAGGTAGAATAGATGTAAATATAATTAATGACACAAACCGCATATGGACATTAGACAGAACAATTTTATTAAATCCAATGGTCAGGGAGAAAATTAACAATGACATCAAGAATTTCTTTAAGGAAAATGTTTCAAATGAAGTTTCCACAGTCTTGCTCTGAGACTCCATGAAGGCGGTGATCAGAGGATCGTTGATCGCCATCACACCTAAAGTGTGAAAAGACAGAGAACAAGAAAGGAATGGAGCACTAGAACGCATCACAAAATTAGAAAAAGAACATAAATTATCGAGCTGCCCCAAAATTTACAAAAAAACTTAATGCGGAACGCAAACTTCTAGAAAATCTAGAAATCTCTCAGATTCAAAAAAACTTACTATATATGAAGCAGAAGTTTTGGCAGAAATCTTCCAAAAACTTACAGATATTAGCCTGGGGAGTTAAGAACAAACGGAAATCAAGCTCCATCGGATCCTTAATAAAGGACAATGGCAATAAGATGTACTCTACCAAAGACGTAGCTCAGACGTTTGCGAAGTATTTGTTAGATCCCAAATCAGGAGAATA